GGGGGGCTCTCTGTTCCTGTCGGTTTGGCGAGGGAACAGAGAGTCGGGGCCCCGAGAGGTAATTGTAGGTATGAGTTCGTTGATTTTGTAGACAAACTTTCTGCAACGCGTGGAAAAAGTAAACTGTGGTCGTGTTTAAAGATCCTAATGATGTCCATGGGTTTTTCTCCTTCAAACATCCAGGGTCGTGGTTTCTGGTCTTCCTCAGTCTTCTTGGTCAGTCTTGCTGCGTTGACAGGCGCTCTTTGACCTCTTCATGTTGCGCAAGGGCCCGCAGCGCGGGCCGCCGGTGGGGGAGTTGGAGACGCCGCCCAGGCGCGGGTCCGGGCCCAACCGGAGCAAGGCAGCTGGGGGGGCGCGCCGATTTTCAGCCGCAGGAATGACAATCGTGCGCTGCCGACGACATCTCCCAACAAGAGCAAGAAGCGCCCAATGACCACCACCTTGCCCAACAAGCGGGCCAAGTGAGTGCATTGGCCACTTGGATGTGCAGTGATTGGATGTTGGGGCATCGAAAGATGAGGATGAGGAGCCTTCCAACTGATTGTGGTCCATGTGATCCTGGTTTCAGTCTCTTGAGAGTTAGCCAACTGGCGATAGTCTGCCCCACTTGGCGGTGCATCTCAGGTCAGAGCTGCGCTGAATGGGGCGGCGCACATGTTCTGTGCTATCTAATTTCTATCATAGCTCCCGTGGGTGTGTCCCACAGGCCTTCTTCCGGGGTACTTGCTTGCAGGCTGAGTCATGACCAAATGCATGCCCTAACCTGTCATAGGTTAGGCAACAAGAAGCATCCAGTCTCAAGCACCTAGCTTCTGGCATGCCAATGCTTGTCCATAAGCAGAAAGGTCTCCATGATGTTGCCATGCTTCATGTCTCAGCCTGGAAGTCACTGTGAGCCATATAAAGCCAATGTTTTCCTTGGCTCCTTGACTTGTTATGATTGAAAATTGAAAGGGCGTGGATCTTTCAACGCAGGAGTCCCATATTGACATCGAAGAAAGTCCTGGAGTCCTCGCGGAATGGCTTTATCTGGATAGTTATGTGGTTGAGCATCTGCACTTTTGGCAGGTGGGTATATCTTTCGCTTCATGTGGCATCATTTTAGGTTGCGACACGCTCGGGACGTCCGGAAGTGACGAACAAATGCGCTGGGCTTGTGTATGCCTGACAGCAAAACAGGGCCACCAGATCCAATGAGCTGCTGTCAATGTGCCTTGCTTGACCTGAGATACTGCGGCCCATGTGTTCTTGAGCTGGTGAAGCTATTCTATAGACACAAAAGGGCTGTTGTGATGTGATTGAGTTGTACATGCTTGAAATGTCCCAGCCAACAGTGGTTTAGAGCCGTGGCCTAGATTAGAGTACAATACGGCATGCATGCGGCATGCACAAGTGAAAACCTGAAGTACCTCCATCCTGTGGACTGCCTGAGGTAGCTGAATGGTGGTGTTCTTCACTGTCAGTCATACATCCTTCCGCTTCTTCAGCGGCCCTTCCAACAAGCTGACCATGACACAATTGACATCAGTAGGTGATAAGTACTCACATCTACACAGCCACAACACCAACAGCTCAAAGTAATTATCACTCGTAAAGGGCTGCACTTCTCCATGGATTTGCAGTTGTCGCGGGGTACTGTGCACACGTGCAAGGCAGGGAACACTTGCAGAGTTGGACTTGATGAATCACACATAGATTTGCAACATTGTGCACAGTGATCCCCACATGGATTACACGAGTGGTGTACATTTTTTGTGGGTAATGCAACTACACACACGCACAGCTATATCACACACACATATATTATGTATAATATACAACTATGTGTAGATTGCATGTTGCAAGGGCTTTCTATGTTCAAGTGCTTTCATTGTGCAATTAGTATTTGTGTCGGCAGCAGGGCGTGGTGTTCTGCATCCTGGAACTTGTGACTGGAGTTACTGATTGCTGCATGCTGGTATCCAGCGAGGCTAGTGCCAATTTTCACCCACAGGCTTGCAGACAGCCTGCTGTGGTGCAGCCTGGTGGAAATCTCTTTCCGCTCCTTGGCTTCAGGTGCTGCCTGGGGGTCCAACACTGATAACCACCCAGGCAACATCAAATCTGCGTCCATCCAGTCCTTCAGCTGCCCCGTGCCACCGAGGCTGCACAGACAACCTGCTGACCAAAGGCCAGCGGCCAGTTGAACCAGCCAAAGTATTTTTAGGGTGGCACGTTGCAGAACCGATTCTTGTATTTTGACTCATTGATCCGTGAGTGTAGGATCATTCTAATCAGAAGGCCAGAAGACCTCCCACAGTTACAAATCCATCCCGCTTTTCAGGAGAACTTGGTTGCGTTCAAGCATTGCAGGTAGCTCGTCCAGCTGCAGCTGTTTGATGGCTGATGAAGGTCCCAAGATAAGATAGCCCAGCTGAGCTGTCTAAATTTGTTGTGCACAAAATTTAGAAAAGGATGATATTTGGCTCAGTGTTTTAATGACGTTTTGTTCAAGCATGGCACAGAAGTATTTGGAGATTTGGGGTACTTTTGTACAAAGATATTATTAAACAACCCACTTACAACCCACTTTGTTAGGCCATTCCTGAAGCCTGCAACATTTGCAATGCTTCACAACGCAAGTTTTTCCTCTTTTAACAATCACATTTTAACTTGGAACCCTACTAATCCTACTACATATACATACTTTAGCTAGTTTTCACACATTCCAAGCAAGAAAGCCGTGTGCTACCTAGCACCGGGAGAGAGCCCTTGCAGAGTGACGTGCTATGGGTGGAGTGGGCTCTAGAAGGAGCCAGGTGAACAGGCGAGGTGGCATTGCAGAGTCAACGAGCATGGATCAAAACTCAAGAGATTAAAGCTATGGAAGTTTGACATGTGCAGTAGTCCATTGGTTAACCTTTCCGGGCCAACCGCAACCGGTTCCTGGGCTTAGACCATAGCCCACTGAGTCTGAGGAGTCATCCCTGAGTTGCGTTTGGTGCGGCAGTGTCAATGAACGGCACAATCTGAATCCAGTTTTACTGTATGTGCAAGTGTGCTGAGGACCTCAGTAGAAAAGGCAAAAAAAGAAGTGAGCTGCTTGCAATTTCAGAGATGGCAAGCCTCTCCGTCGGTGAGGTATGTGGAGTACCTGGAAGATAGTCCCACTGGACGGACAGCTACGACTGGGTCGGTTGCGTCCATGTTGTCTGCAAAAGTAGACTTTGACACGATGATGTACTTGTCTCGATTTGGAAGCTTGGCCCAATTGGATGGGTAGAAGCATGGGGCTGTGTGAACGACGAGCCGTTGCCCAAATCACACAAGCCGCAGCCAACCAAGCGTTTGCAGTTGCTGCACCAGCTTTAGCATGCATCGGGGTTTGTTTTCAGGGACGCATCTTTTCAGACAGACAGCTTAGCATTTCACCTTTGGTGACTTGCTTCGGCCAAGCCCCCACTGACCAGGACGCGCGGCTCCCAACGGCCGAGACCGGCGCACGCCGACGCCCGTTGCGCCGAGGCTTTGGTGTTGGCCGTGCTGATCCCTTGATGTCCTTGGAGGTGGAGCAGTACATGGAGCGCGAAGGGCACCGAAAATACGAGGCGCACCGCCCGGTCGGCGGTTTCCGCGAAGGGCCGCTTAATTTGTGTGTGTGGTCGGTGCTTGCGTTTGGTTGGTTGCCTTGAGCTGCCTTGGTTTGGTTGGTTGGTGGGCTGTTTCTTTGGGCAGCAATGGCGCACCTGGCGCAGGTGCGCTGTGCACTCCGTTTGCCCGAGCTGGCAGCACTGGTGGCAGACAAACAGGAGTTGCAGGCACAACCAAGTCGGTATTTGGAGAAATGCTGAGGGAATAATCAAGAATCTCAGGCAACTGCGACGGGGTCCAGATCAAGAGCGGTAGCATGCAAACCTCGTCGTTTCTTTCGTCCACTCCATGGGAAGAGAAGCGACATGCAACATCATGCAACATGGAAGAGATTGTTGTGGGCTGCAAGACTCCATTTCAAGTCACAGCGTCCCGCGATGTTCCACATCTTCTTCAAGTCACGTCTCCCGCTGCACCCGATGAGGTCGAAGGGCTCTTTGATGTGCTGCCTTTGACCTGGAGCTGCTGGAAGCGGCTCTTTGAGCTGCGCGAAAACCTCTACGAACCCGTGAAGGAGGGGACCGACCGTGGCTGAGCAACGAATACGATTCTGGTGTGGTTTGCCAAAGGGAAGGTAGGTTGAAGGAATATGTGGACATAAGATGACGTAGTGTTCAATTTTTTTGAGTGCATATGAGTGCATAAAGCTTTGGGACGAGGCTGGACCTGAGATTGGGATTCACCCCAGAGAGGGAATTGATGCAATGCATCCTAGCGCTGAGCCAGGTCTTAGAGAGACACCTGTTCAGGAGTGAGAAAGCATGAGCAGGTCGGTTGGGAAAACAGTACAAGAAGTGCAACTAAGATTCATCAACTCTTCAATTCAGGCCTGGAAGTCTGTGGAATTGTGGTAGTCTGTCGAATTCCAGGAGTGCTTGGGTGCCAGCTATGAGAAGCACTTCAAAAATGCTCCTTTTGCGCTCCGCATCGGCCGCCTGGCCGGTTGATGAGCCATCCGCCCGTTCCGATCGATCCGATCGATCCGCTGGTCCTGGGTGCGTTGCGCGGACTCACCGAGCGCTCCGCACCGCGTCTCTACAACGGACCCGAGCGTTGGTGCCACTCGTTCGGGGCGGTGCCTGAGGTCTCAGCGGTACGTTGGAACGCCTGGACCTCTGGGTGCAACGCTTGGGAGAGTTGATTTGTCAGAAGCAGCTGCAGGGCAGAGCCTCGGTGTCCACACCGTCCGTCGGATGGAGAGATCTGAATAGACCAGGGGGAGGATCGTGCGCGGTGAGCGACGACTGGACTTGTGGTGTGTCCATTTCAGTTGTGAGGAACACGGAGGGAAAAACAGATGTAGAAGAAGATAGCAATGAGACAGCAGCCAGCAATTGGAGGGTAGACCATGCCGGAGGCTTTTGGGCAGAAGTTTTCTCTTTGGGAGGCTTTTTCCTTAGCATTTTTGGGTGTGTCGCATTTTCAGACACCCTCCCTGTTGATGTGAAGAGTCTACTACAAAGTCAATTGCACCCCAACTGGTGCAGAAGTCCTGGGAGCAAGCAAACGCTTTGGCTGCCGGAAGGGCCAATGTTGTACGGACCCCCTCGATCCGCAGCTTTGTTACACTTTCTGCAATTTTTTGCCAATCGACTGGTCAGTTGTTATCGGTCCAGTCCTTTCATTATTGTATATATATATATATATACATGCGTGTGTGTACCTGCCTGCAAATCCTGCATGGCCATAAGGATTTGCCAGGTGTTTGAGGTGGATTTGGAGGGATCCCTTCCACCTGTAGGCACTTGTGGCCGGGGTCTGCGGGATGAATGGGATGGGCTGGCGTGACTCACTTGGAGAATTCCTCAAAAAGACCCTGCATCTCATCATTCCGCTTGATTGCAGCAAGAACTGCAGGGAGTTGAAACCTCATGAAATCTCACATCGCCATCTCGCCATTGGCCAGCCTTCCTTCGGTTCGCAGATGCTCCAGGACTCCTTCCGATCCTCCGGACGCAATGCGACGTCGTCGTGACCGTCCGGACGCAACGACCGTCCGCACCTCCGCCCAGGATGCCTGGCGCTCGTCCTCAGGCGATCACCGGTGTTCACGCAGCTCTCGGGCTTTGTCAACCCAAATTCGACTCGACCAATTCAGGAAGTGATATCAAGTATAGTATCATATAGTATCGCGCACACACACACAGAGATACAGATATAGATATAGATACACACACATACATACATATATATATATATACACATGTTTATGAATCAGATGCATTTTTTGGACGCAACATGCTTGTCAAGGCATTTGTCATCGAAGTTTTCAACTCCGGAGTTTGCCCACTCTCATCGTCCAGACGGTGCTCCACCCGTGCCGTGCGTCCGTTCGCTGGAAGTGCCAGCTGCTTCAGGTTTTTGGATGCGCCAGCGCCTGAGGAGTCGGAGGATGGCACGCTCAAACCAAAGGCCGTCAGCGAGTTATCAAGGACATTGAATGACCCGAAGCAACTGGGTAAACGTGAACGGATCGTTCTGCTTCATGCAGTTTGTATGTGTTTGCTTTATCTGTTATGTCTATGTTGAGTCCTGAACTTGTTTTGCATACTGTTCTCCTTCCACCAAGTTTCGAGGTTTAAGGTGTGGTGTCCATGCTTTATGCATTTTGACTCACACAGCTTGTTGGCAGTATGTTTGGCAATGCTGTCAATGTGCCAGGCCAACTTTGGTTCAGAAAAGTGCTTGAGAGATGGTGACCGGGAATTCACTATCCGTGAATGGCAACGGACTCAGGATTCTTGATGAGAACATATGAGAACCAAAGCTAGGAATATTCTTAACAATGATGGACATTCGGCTAGTCCTCAATTCTATAGAAGTATCTATTTGGGGTCTTTCAGCTGTCTCTACAATGCCCTTGAAGCACAGTCACACGCCACGACGACAACCACGTCCAGTTGCGCACAACAACGTCCAGTCTCTGAGGCGGAGCAACTGGCAGCTGGAGCTCAAGACGCGACTCATCAATCTAGGCGCTCAGCCACAGGTGCGGTCGACCCACCCCGTGTGCTCCACACCGGTCACCGCAGGTGTTTTGGTCGACCCGGGGATCCATCCTCGGAGTGTGTACAGCTTCCCGCGTTTGGGCTTTTCATGGCCTGACCCAGCCCCAGAACTGTTCTTTCGGTTTTTCCCCAAACAGTTTACTGTTAGGGGTTCTCAATTCTTTAAAGAATGGTCGCCTTGGTGCTGGATGGTCTGGTCGGGTTCCCAGCCGGCTTGTCTCCCACTTCCTTTGTCTCCCAGTTCTTTTCAGTCGGGGTTCCCGGCTGGCTTGTCTCCCACTTCCTTTCATTTGCCTCCCAATTCTTTTCATTTGTCTCCGCCACTACTTCCTTTCATTTGTCTCCCACTTCTTTTCATTGTCTCCCAGGCTGGGTGCTTGTGGTCGGGTTCCGGGCCGGCTTGTCTCCCACTTCCTTTCATTTGTCTCCCACTTCTTTTCATTTGTCTCCCAGGCTGGGTGCTTGTGGTCGGGTTCCCGGCCAGCTTGTCTCCCACTTCCTTTCATTTGTCTCCCACTTCTTTTCTGCTTGTGGTCGGGTTCCCGGCCGGCTTGTCTCCCACTTCCTCTTATTTGTTTCCCACTTCTTTTCATTTGTCACCCACTTCTTTTCATTTGTCTCCCAGGCTGGGTGCTTGTGGTCGGGTTCCCGGCCCGCTTGTCTCCCACTTGCTTTCATTTGTCTCCCGGTTTTTTTCATTTATCTCCCAGAAATGCTTCATTTGTCTCCCAGGTCCGTCACTGCTGGTGCCATGTAGCATTTCTATTCACTTGTCTTTGTCACTGCTAATTTCAGCCCTTTTCCGCTGGCCACGCAGCATTTCTATTCATTTGTCCCCCAGGCTTGTCACTGGTGGTGTCCGCCCTTTTCCGCTGTTTCTATTCATTTGTCTCCCAGGTCTGTCACTGTTGGTGTCCGCCCTTTTCCGTTGGCCGTGTAGCATTTCTGTTCATTTGTCTCCCAGGTCTGTCACTGCCAGTGTTTTGTCTCCCAGGTCTGTCACTGCTGGTGTCTGCCCTTTTCGTCGGCCATGCAGCATTTCTATTCATTAGTCTCCCAGGTCTGTCACTGTTGGTATCCGCCCTTTTCCGCTGGGCATGCAGCATTTCTATTAGTTTGTTTCCCGGGTCTGTCACTGGTGCTGCCGCCCTTTTCCGCTGGCCATGTAGCATTTCTATTCATTTGTCTCCCATGTGATTTCTTTCTTTTTGTCTTTCAGGTTTGGTGCCTGCACTGCTGTTTTCTGCCCTGTCCGCTGGAACAGGTTCGCCTGTGAAAGGTTCTTGCTCCTTTGCAAGGGGTGCGTGACTGTCTCCGGGATTGCATTCCTGCCACACTGTGTAACTCTCTCAGCTTTGTTTTCCTTCTCGGGCAACCGTTGGATGAATGACCGGATTGGATTTCGGCGGCGTGGCAGCGATCTCTCTATTCAGTTGGGGCGGAGGGCATATGTCAGGCACCAAAAATCAATTTCATGTCACATCCTTCGCTCCTCATGCTTTTGTTTCTTGTCCTCACGTGGTCAGCTCCCCGCTGACTGAGCAGCGTGACCAGCATCATGTTCGCGCTTGAAGAATAATTCCCCAAAAGGTTTACTGTTAGGGCTTCTCACTTCTTTCTTAAGATGTGTCCCCCCGCTCTGTACTGCTGTGTCCGTCTCTGCCTTGCAATCCTTTACATTTATCTCCCAGCTCTGGACGTCGCAAGCTCTAGTTTCGATTTTGAAAAACACAAACTGTTTGGGGCCTACGGTGGTGTAATGTTTCACTCTGTGCGCTTTGGTTACAAGGATGATGCCCAGTCTGCAATCATCCAGATCGGTAGCACCCCGAAAGCCCAAAGACTATATAGATAGGGGTTTAACTTAAGTGCAAAATGTGAGGGCAATCCCCATGTATATATATATATATGATTGTATTGCGCAATGCCGACTTTGCCCTGTTTCTTGCTAGCATGCGGCCAGCTTCGTGGTAAGCCTATCGCCTATCATACCACTTGTTGTTTGCTTGTCAACCCGGGATCAGCAGCATGGTGCAAGTTCCAGGCCACAGCTTCGATGTATGCGCATGTAATCACTTTGGTCACATTTATCCCCAAACAGTTTACTGTTAGGGGTTGTCAATTCTTTCTTAAGATGTCACTGTTGGTGTCCGCCCTCTTTCCGCTGGCCATGCAGCATTTCTATTCATTTGTCTCCCAGGCTTTTCCGCTTGGCGATGCAGCATTTCTATTCATTTGTCCCCCATGTGATTTCTTTACTTTTGTCTTCTACATTCCGTGCCTACACTGCTGGTGTCTGCCTTTTTCCGCTGGCCATGCGGCATTTCTATTCATTTGTCTCCCAGGTGATTTCTTTACTTTTGTCTTCTACATTCCGTGCCTACACTGCTGGTGTCTGCCTTTTTCCGCTGGCCACGCGGCATTTCTATTCATTTGTCTCCCAGGTGATTTCTTGACTTTTGTCTCCCAGGTTCGGTGCCTGCACTGCTGGTGTCCACCCATTTCCGCTGGCAATGCAGCATTTCTATTCATTTGTCTCCCAGGTGATTTCTTTCCCAAACAGGTTGCTGGTAGGGGTTCTCAATGCTTTCTAGGAGTGTCCGCCTTGCTGCTGGACGGCATGTCCGCCTTCCGTCCGGCTTGTCTCCCTGTGGGTCTGTGTCCGCCTTGTCTCCCTTCTGTCTCCTTTTGTCTCCCTTCTTGTCTCCCTTCTTGTTGGTCATTGTGTCCGCGTTGTCTCCCTTCTGTCTCCCTTTCTCTCCGGTCTTGTCTCCCTTCTTGTGCCTTTTGGCTCCCTTCTTGTGTCCCTTCTTATTAGCTGGTCATTGTGTCCGCCTTCTTGTTGGTCAGTGTGTCCGTCTTGTCTCCCTGCTGTTTCCTTTTGTCTCCCTTCTTGTCTCCCTTGGTCACTGTGTGTCCGTGTTGTCTCCCTTCTGTTTCCTTTTGTCTCCCTTCTTGTCTCCGTTCTTGTTGGTCATTGTGTCCGTCTTGTCTCCCTTCTGTTTCCTTTTGTCTCCCTTCTTGTCTCCCTTCTTGTTGGTCATTGTGTCCGT